CCGCGGCCCCGTCGCCGCCCTTTCGCGGGCCTCGTCGCCGCCCTTCAGCGGCCTCGTCGCCGCCCCTCAGCGGCCCTGTCGCCACCCTTCAGCGGCCTCGTTGCCGCCCTTGCGCGCCCCCGTCGCCGCCCCTCGCGGCCCTGCCGCCCTTCCTCGGCCCCTCAGCCGCCCCTTCCCGGGCCCGTCGAGCAGCCGAGCCGCCGTCACGGCCGAGCCGCCGAGCCGCCGAGCCGCCGAGCCGCCCCTTGCCGCTGTGCCGCCGAGCTGCGAGAGCCCCCGAGCTGCCGAGCCGCCGCGCCGCCGAGCTGCCGAGCCGCCGAGAGCCGCCGAGAGCCGCCCCTGCAGCACGAGCCGCCGAGCCGCCAAGCCGCCGAGCCGCCACGCCGCCGCAGCAGAGACGCCGCAGTCCCTGCCGTCGCGGCCCTGTCCCTGCCGGCCTGCCTCGGCCCGCCCCCACCCTACCTGGTAAGAGCAGCGCCTTTGCCACTGCACTGCCTACCTCGCTGCTCTCTCTGCCAGTCTACTGCTGTCATGGCCACCCCCAGTGTTCTCACCTTTGACGCTGAGGGTCGGGCTGTTGACTTTGAGGTCTGGTAGATGATCTGCAGCTTTTCCTACAGTGCGATAGGGCAGACGGTCTCTCTCTGTTTGACCTCAACCTCAGGTGCCTCTCCTGCCCTTGCTGCTGATGCTGACGCCACTGTTCGCTCACAGTGGGCCACGCGCGATGCTGCTGCTCGCCTTGCTATGCGCCGCCACTTACCGACCGCTGAGCGCGCGCATTTTAGTCAGTACAAGAGTGCTAAGACCTTGTACGACGCTATCGTTGCACGCGACTCTTCCCCTGCCACTGCTGCCCTTAGCCGCCTCATACTGCCGTACCTCTTCCCTGACCTCGCCGCTTATCCCACAGTCGCTGACCTCATTACGCACCTACGCACTATTGACATTCGCTACCCGCACGCCTGCGCTTCCTGCTGATTTTCTGCGCCAAGAACCCCCCCCCTATGTACATCACCCTCTACTACATAGTCACCCGCTCCCTGACACCCTTCGCTCGGTCAGGGACCACTTCCTCTCTGTTGCCCCACCACCCTCACCGTTGACCTCCTCGAGGAGCGCCTCCTAGCAGTAGAAAAGAGTATAGTTGCTGTAGGAGCCTCTCGTGGTGACCCTCGTACCCCTGTCTTTGAGGGGTGCTCCCCCTCCCCCCTCTTGCCCTCTGTTGCCACTCTGCTGCTGCGGCCGACCTTGTTTGTCTTGAGTCGGTCGGCGCGACGTCTGCCCCTATCGAGAGACGCCGCTCAGGCAAGGGCAAGGGGGGCAAGGGCGCTGGAGGAGCTGGCGGGGGCGGTGGAGGCGGCGGTGGAGGCGGCGGAGGGGGTGGGGGTAGCGGTGGGAGTGGTGGCGGGAGTGGGGGCACTAGTGGCGGCAGTGGAGGCGGAAGAGGCGGCGGTGGTGGCGGTGCGAGCGGAGGTGGTGGAGGTGGAGGCGGTGGTGGAGGTAGCGGCGGCGAGGTGGAGCTGGTCGGGGGCGGCTCTTCGCAGAGGGTCGGCTCCGGTGGTGGTCAGCGCCAGCAGCAGAAGCAGCAGCAGCAGCGCAGCGCACTCGTGAGACCCCTTCCCCCAGCAAGCTTCGTGAGTGGTACACTACTCGTCGGCGGGGTGGGGGGTGGTGGCCCCTGTACCTACGTTCTACGTACAGGCGACCGCACGGGTGAGCAGTGTGGGGGTCCGCACTCCACCCAGCGCTGCTTCGGCCGCCTGGACGGACGCTTGGCATCATCAGTTCCCCGACGCTACTGAGATCCCTTGCTGGGGCGAGCTGTTTAGGGCGGGGTTGTTGCGATCTTTGATCTTCATTATGATGCTATTCTAGCTGCAGTGGTATGCTGTGACTATAAGTGATGAGGGTGACTGTTACCGGTGTTTTCCGCCTGACTCGGGCATTGAGGCTGCTGCTCTAGGTGCTGGTGAGGCTGCTGCTCTAGGTGCCAGTGAGCCTGCTGCCCCAGGTGCTGGTGAGTCTGCGCTCTCAGGTACCGGGTCGGCTCCGGCCACCCACACCTTCACCCTTGACTCGGGTGCTTCCCGCTCCTTCTTTCGAGACCGCACCACGCTTACGCTGCTTAGTCGGCCAGTGGCAGTCTCCCTGGCAGACCCCTCTGGGGGTCCCGTCCTTGCCCACTTCTCCACTGTTCTACCGTGTCCTGCGGCCACTTCTGGCACCCTGTCGGGTCTTTACCTCCCCTCGTTCTCTACCAACTTGGTGAGTGGTGCTGACCTCCAAGATGGAGGGGTTCACCAGTTCTACCCACTGTACCTGTGCTCAGACGGGCCGCCACTTGGCCACGTTTACCCGTCAGCCGCGGTCGATCCTGTACACACTGATTCTGCTCAGGTAGCCGCGTTGGGTCAGGTGTTTGCTGCGGCGTCCAGGTCTGGTCCTGAGTCTGCCCCTTGCTCGTGTCGTCTCCTGTCTCACCAGACTCTCCTCTGGCACCACCGCCTTGGTCACCCCTCCCTGCCTCCTCTTCGAGGCATGGCCTCCCTCCCCTTCCTCCGGGGCCTGCCCCCACCTGCGTTCCCTGTGTCGAGGGGCGACAGCGCGCTGCTCCTCACTCCTCCGAGTTTCCTCCGACAGAGGCTCCGCTGCAGACGCTTCACATGGACGTGTGGGGCCCAGCCCGCGTCCGTGGACAGGGTCACGAGCGTTACTTCCTGATGGTGGTCGACGACTACTCGCGTTACACCACAGTCTTCCCCTTGCGCAGCAAGGGTGAGGTCACTAAGGTGTTGATCGCCTGGATCCGCGCAGCTCGTCTCCAGCTCAGAGAGAGTTTCGGCTCGGACTTTCCTGTTCTGCGTCTGCACTCTGACAGAGGCGGAGAGTTCTCCTCTGACCTTCTGCGAGCCTTCTGTCGTGCACGAGGCATCCGCCACACCTTCACGCTTCCGGACTCTCCGCAGCAAAATGGGATTGCTGAGCGCCGCATTGGCATGGTCATGGACGTCGCTCGTACGTCCATGGTCCATGCGGCTGCCCCCCATTTTCTGTGGCCGTTTGCGGTTCAGTACGCAGCGCGTCAGATCAACCTTCAGCCCCGAGTCTCCATGCCGGAGACCTCCCCTGCTTTGCTGTGGACGTGGAACGTTGGCGATGCGTCTGGGTTCCGTGTCTGGGGATCTCGGGCGTTTGTCCGCGACTTGTCTGCGGACAAGCTGTCCCCTCGTGTTGTTCCCTGCGTCTTCCTTGGCTTCCCCCCTGACGCATCGGGCTAGCAGTTCTACCACCCCACCTCGCGCCGTCATCTGTCCTCCCAGGACGTCACGTTTGACGAGTCGGTTCCCTACTACCGTCTCTTCCCCTACCGCACTGCGTCCCTCCCCCCCCCCCCCCGCCGCTCTTCCTTACGTCAGGTCCCCCTCCGGTAGACCCCCTCCCCCCTCAGGGTCCTGCCCCCTCAGGTGTGTCTCAGGTAGACGCAGTCGACCCTGTCGAGGTAGCTGTTGACTCTGGTGCTGCTAGGGGTGCTGAGCCTGCGGGTGCTGGGTCTGGGGGTGCTGAGCCTGGGGGTGCTGACTCTGGGGGTGCTGCGCTTGGGGGTGCTGAGCCTGGGGGTGCTACGCCTGGGGGTGCTGCGTCTGGGGGTGCTGAGCCTGGGGGTGCTGTGTCTGGGGGTGCGGAGTCTGAGGGTACTGGACCTGCTCGTGTGGCGTCTGGCGGCGCTGGGCCTGGAGGTTCTTCGGGTGCTTCGTCCCGGCGGGAGCTACTCTCTCCACAGGAGCTGCGTGAGTGGTTTGCCCGGCGCTGGAGGCGAGCTGCTGGAGCTGGAGGTGCTGCGGGTGCTGGAGGTTCTGCTGCTGATGAGGGTGCTAGTGCCGCGGGTCCCGGAGGTGCTCGTACTGGGAGTACTGGAGCTGATGGGCCTGCGGGTGCTTCTCGTACTGGAGCTGGTGGTGCTGCGGGCGTCGGTGCTACTGAGGGTGCTGGAGCTGGACCCGCTGCGTAATCTAGTGGTCCGGATGGAGCTGGAGCTGTAGGGGGTGTTGGCGCTGAGGGTGCCTTTGGTGCTGGTGCCTCTAAGGGTATTGGAGTTGGCGTTGCTGGAGCTGGGGGTGCTGCTGGCGCTGGTGCTGTCGTTCGGGGTGCTGGTGCTGTCCCTTCTGGTGCTGGTGGTGCTGAGCGGCCGCGGCCATACTTCGTTCCGCTCCTTGAGCAGGTTCTTGGTCTTCCGCCCTCTGCTAGTCCGGCTCCTCCCTTAGAGTGTCCACCGCCTGTCCAGTCCGAGTCACAGTTACAGCCTACCTCTCCTCTGCGTGCTCCTTCTCCCTACACTGGTCCTACTGGAGGTCTTACTGAGCGTCGTGAGCCTGCGTCTCGTCCTGCGTCGCCTGTCCGTGCTGCTCGCACTAGTAGTCGTGGTTCGCGTCAGCGTCCTCCCCCTTTCCCCGGCACGCACCGGATATCTCTGCGTCCCTCCACTGCTCCGCTGCGTGCCTCTTTCCCTTCTCCTCCTGAGTCCTCTCTTCCTGTTCTTGCTAACCCGGAGTCGGACTCCCTTCGTGCTGCCAGTCCTACTATCACGCGTCTCCTTGCTACTGTCGTCACTGACCCTTCCTTTGAGTCCGCTGCTGCGTCTTCCTTAGTTTCTGAGCTTGTCGACTTCGCTGCTCGCTGTCGCCTAGACTACGCTGCTGGTCTTGTCGCTGAGTCTGAGTCTGTCTGTCCTCCGTCCATCGGGGGTGAGTTTGCCCTTGGCATGGACGTCCTTGAGGACAGGCAGGAGGAGTTCCAGTGCTTTGCTGCTGCTTCACCTCATCTCGTGTCCATGCTGCTTGCCCCTGAGGGAGACCCGGGTGCACCAGACATCCCGACTCCGCGCTCTTACGCGGAGGCGATAGAGGGTCCCTACCTCTCTCAGTGGCAGGCAGCCATGGATGCAGAGATGGCTTCCTGGAAGTCCACAGGCACCTACGTCGACGAGGTTCCCCCTCCTGGGGTGAACATCGTCACTGGCATGTGGATTTTCAGGGTGAAGCGGCCGCCGGGTTCTCCGCCTGTCTTCAAGGCGCGCTACATGGCTCGTGGCTTCAGTCAGCGGCAGGGAGTTGACTACTTTCAGACCTTCTCTCCCACCCCGAAGATGACCACTCTTCGGGTACTGCTGCACATAGCCGCTCACCGTGACTACGAGCTTCACTCTCTTGACTTCAGCACTGCTTTCTTGCAGGGCAGCCTGCACGAGGAGATCAGGCTGCGCCGCCCACCTGGCTTCACGAGCAAGGAAGTAGTGGAGAGCAATGTGCTTTGTTCTGTGCTCCAGTCGCTGCTCGCGACACAAGGCCAGCATGGCCTTGTTGTCTACGTACAGTACTGGAGGAGAACGAGGCGGCTCTCCGAGGTCAGTCAGTAGGTAGGTGAGCCAGCGAAGCTCCTGTGCAGCCATGGCCCCATCAAAGATCTCAGCCTCACAACTGGAGCCGAGAACAGAAGACGAGCGAGTAGCCCGCCACGAGACAGAGCCGGAACCAAGGCTGAAGGTGTAACCCTGTGACGACCGCTGCGTAGCCTGGTCGTCAGCCCAAGAAGCGTCTGCGTGCCCAGTGAGGACCACTGGACTGCGCCCTCCAAGCACTAGCCCCATGCCCGACGTACTGCACAAGTAGCGCAACACCCTCTTCGCTGCAGCCATGTGCTCTGGTCGGTGTCTCCTAGGAGCAACATAGCGTGCGACAATGCTAAGAGGGTATGCAAGGTCAGGTCGTGTGCAGGTCATCAGGTACATGAGGCAGCCAACAAGCTCTGGATACGGGCCACTCGACTCTACGGACTCATCCGAAGGCTGAGCTGAGAGCGAGTGGCGAGTAGGCAGAGGAGTGGCCTGAGGCGAGGAGATGTGAAGCCAAAGCGCTGAAGGACCTGCTGCACCATGTGTGACTGAGTCAGGGTAATGGTGCGGCGTGCTCTGTCCCGGGTGATCTGCAAGCCAAGGTAGCTGCGCAGTTCACCCAGGTCTGTGCACGTGTGTCTCTTCTGCAGCTCGGACTTCACGTAGGCGAGTCCAGCAGTGTCAGCTGTGGCAAAGACCAAGTCGTCGACGTACACGAGGATGTAGAACGGCGGCAGAGAGGTGTCGGTGCGTAGAAACAGCGACGGGTCGGCAGTAGAAGGAGCAAACCCAAGAGCCGCAAGTGTGGTCCTCAGTGTGTCGTGCCACTCACGTGGCGCCTGACGGAGACCGTAAACTGGACGCCGGAGGCTCCACTAGGTACCAGGAGGGAACGACCCAGTGAAGCCAGGTGGGCGGCGCAGCCAGATCTCCTCGTGCAGGCTGCCCTACAAGAAAGCTGTGCTAAAGTCGAGAGAGTGCAGCTCGTAGTCACGGTGAGCAGCAACGTGCAGCAGTACCTGAAGAGTGGTCATCTTCGGGGTGGGAGAGAAGGTCTGAAAGTAGTCAACTCCCTGCCGCTGACTGAAGCCACGAGCCACGTAACGTGCCTTGAAGACAGGCGGAGAACCCGGTGGCCGCTTCACTCTGAAGATCCACATGCCACTGACGATGTTCGCCCCAGGCGGGGGAACCTCGTCAACGTAGGTGCCTGTGGACTTCCAGGAAGCCATCTCTGTGTCCATAGCTGCCTGCCACTGAGAGGAGTAGGGACCCTCTATCGCCTCCGCGTAGGAGCGCGGAGTCGGGATGTCAAGTGCATCCGGGTCTCCCTCAGGGGTAAGCAGTACGGACACGAGATGAGGTGAAGCAGCAGCCAGACACTGGAACTCCTCCTGCCTGTCCTCAAGGACGTCCGTGCCAAGGGCACACTCACCCCCGACGGACGGAGGACAGACAGACTCAGACTCAGCGACAAGACTAGCAGCGTAGTCTAGGCGACAGCGAGCAGCAAAGTCGACGAGCTCAGCAACTAGGGCAGACGCAGCAGTGGACTCGAAAGAAGGGTCAGTGACTACAGTAGCCAGGAGACGCGTGACAGTAGGACTGGCAGCACGAAGAGAGTCCGACTCTGGGTCGGCAAGAGCACGAAGAGAGCACTCAGGAGGAGAAGGCAAAGGGGCACGCAGAGGAGCAGTGGATGGACGCAGAGACATCCGGTGCGTGCCAGGGTCAGGAGGAGGACGCTGACGCGAACCACGACCACTAGCGCGAGCAGGACGGACAGGCGACGTAGGGCGAGACGCAGGCTCACAACGCTCAGGAAGACCTCCAATAGGACCAGTGTAGGGAGAAGGAGCAGGCAAAGGGGAGGTAGGCTGCAACTGTAACTGTGACGGGACAGGCTGTGGACACTCTAAGGGAGGAGGAGGACCAGTAGAAGGTGGAAGACCAAGAACCTGCAGCAGGAGTGGAACGAAGTACGGTCGAGGCCGCGTGGCGACGCCAGACACAGCAGGGACAGCACCAGTACCCCCAGCAGGAGCACCCGCTCTAGAAGCACCTCCAGTAGCTCCAGAACCTCCAGCAGCACCAGGAGTACCCCCAGGAGGACCGCCAGCGGTAGTCTCAGCGCCAACACCCTCAGTAGCACCAGCTCCAGTCGAACCCGCAGGCCCAGCAGCTCCAGTACTCCCAGTACGAGCACCTCCGGGACCCGCGACAGCAGCACCCTCAGTAGCCGAAGAACCTCCAGCACCAGCAGCACGGCTCCAGCGCCGGGCAAACCACTCGCGCAGCTCCTGTGGAGAGAGTGGCTCCCGAAGAGACGAAGCAACCGGAGAACCTCCAGGCGTAGCACCTCCAAGCTCAGCACCCCGAGGCTCAGCACCCCCAGGCTCAGCACCCCTAGGCACAGCACCCCCAGGCTCAGCACCCCCAGGTGTAGCACTCCCAGGCACAGCACTCCCAGGCGTAGCACCCCCAGGCACAGCACCCCCACGCTCAGCACCCCCAAGCTCAGCACCCCCAGGCTCAGCACCCCCGGGCTCAGCACCCCCAGTCTCAGCACCCCCAGGCTCAGTACCCTCAGCAGCACCAGAGTCACCAGTAACCTCAAAAGGCTCGACTGTGTCTACCTGGGACACACCTGAAGGGGCAGGACCCTGAGGGGGGAGGGGGTCTATCGGGGGGTGACCTGGTACAAGGAAGAGCGGGGGGGGGGGGGAGGGACGGAGTGCGGTAGGGGAAGAGGCGGTAGTAGGGGACCGACTCGTCAAACGTGACGTCCTGGGAGGACAGAACACGGCGAGAGGTGGGGTGGTAGAACTGCCACCCAGGCGCGTCAGGGGGGAACCCCAGGAAGACGCAAGGAGCAGCACGAGGGGACAGCTTGTCCGCAGACAAGTCGCGGACAAACGCCCGAGATCCCCAGACCCGGAACGCCGACGCATCACCAACCTTCCCAGTCCACAGCAAGGCTGGGGAGGTCTCCGGCCTGGAGACCCTGGGGTGTAGGTTGATCTGATGCGCCGCGTACCTCACCGCAAACGGCCACAGAAAATGGGGAGCAGCCGCATGCATCATAGACGTACGAGCGACGTCCATGACCATGCCAATGCGGCGCTCAGCAATCCCATTTTGCTGCGGGGAGTCCGGAAACGTGAAGGTCTGACGGATGCCTCGTGCGTGACAGTAGGCTCTCAGAAGGCCAGAGAAAAGCTCTCCGCCTCTGTCCAAGTGCAGACGCAGAACAGGAAAGTCCAAGCCAAAACTCTGCCTGAGCTGGAGACGAGCTGCGCGGATCCAGTCGATCAGCACCTCAGTGACATCACCCTTGCTGCGCAAGGGGAAGACCGCGGTCTAATGCGAGTAGTCGTCAACAACGAGCAGGAAGTAGCGCTCGTGACCCTGTCCACGGACGCGGGCAGGGCCCCACACGTCCATGTGAAGCGTCTGCAGCGGGGACTCTGTCGGAGGAAACTGGGAGGAGTGAGGGGCAGCCCGCTGGCGCCCCTCGACACAGGGGACACAGGTAGGGCCAGGGCCCTGAGGAAGGGGAGGGAGGGACTGGGGGAGACCAGAAACAAGAAGACGGGAGGCCATGCCTCTGAGCCGAAGCAGAGAGGGGTGACCAAGGCGGTGGTGCCAGAGGAGAGTCTCGTGAGACAGGAGACGACACGAACAGGGGGCAGACTCAGGCCCGGACCTGGATGCTGCAGCAAACACCTGACCCGACGCAGCTACCCTACCAGACTCAGCAACTGGAGGAGACGCAGTGGTCAGTGTGTACAGGCTCGACTCCGGCTGACGGGTAAACGTAGCCAGGTGTCGGCCTGTGCTAGCCTCTGTGCAGTGCATCACCCGCTGACGCGCAGGAGTGAACTTGTGTACTCCCCCATCCTGTAGGTCAGCACCACTCACCAGGTTCGTAGAGAACGAGGGGAGGTAGAGACCAGACAGGGTGCCAGAGGGAGCCGCCGGACACGGGAGGACTGTGGAGAAGTGAGACAGGACAGGACCCCCAGAGGGGTCAGCCAGAGACACCGCAACCGGCCGACTAAGCGGCGTGAGTGTGGTGCGGTCCCGAAAGAAGGAGCGAGAAGCCCCAGAGTCAAGGGTGAAGGTGAGGGAGGCCGAAGCCGACGCAGTACCTGAGAGCGCAGACTCACCAGTACCTGAGGATGCAGAAGCACTAGCACCTAGAGCAGGAGCGTCGCAAGCACCTAGGGCAGCAGCCTCACCAGTACCTAGAGCAGCAGTCTCAATGCCCGGATCAGGCGGGAAACACCGGTAACAGTCACCCTCATCACTAATAGACACAGCATACATGGCAGAAAGGATAGCATCAAAATCAAGATCATAGATGGCAACTCCCGCCCTAGACAGCTCGCCCAAGCGAGGGATCTCTGTGGCCTCCGAGAACTGGTGACGCCACGCGTCCGTCAGGCGGCCAAAGCAGCGCTGGGTGGGGTGCGTACCCCCACACTGCTCACCCGCACGGTCGCCGGTGCGCAGGACGTAGGTGCACGGACCAAACAACCCACCCCGCTGGCGTGCAGTGTACCACTCATGGAGCTGCTGAGGGGACAGGGTCTCAAGACCGCGCTGCTGCTGCTGGCGCGGACCACCACCGGAGCCACTCCTCTGCGTAGACCCGCGACCAGCTCCACCTCCACCCCCGCCGCCTCCGCCGCCTCCGCCGCCTCCTCCACCGCCACCACCTCCGCCACCTCCGCTCCCACCGCTACCGCCGCCGCCGCCTCCGCCTCCACTGCCGCCACCGACACCTCCACCCCCACCTCCACTCCCACCGCCACCCCCACTCCCCCCGCCGCCTCCACCTCCACCTCCACCGCCCCCGCTCGCTCTTCCAGTGCCCCTGCCCCCCTTGCCCTTGCCAGAGCGGTGTCTCCCGCTAGGGGCAGACGCCGCACCGACCGACTCAAGACCAAGGAGGTCCGCCGCAGCAACAGAGGCAACAGAGGGCAGAAGGGGGGAGGGGGAACACCCCTCAAAGATGGGGG